TAATTCATGTTAAATTAGATTACTCGTAACGATTTTATTTAGTTCCCTGCAGATTATAGTTAATTTTCTGTGATAATTAAATGCAGAAAAGACTACACATGTTAAATAAGCATTTGAGATAAACTAATGGAGGCAGTTGCTCTAAAACTTCGTTGGGTTTCGCATTCTGATTTAGATTTTTTTAATTTTAATTAGATTTATTTTCGCAAGTCTTTTTTAAGGTACCTTGAAAGTGGAATTAAATTAAAGAATTTTGTTAACAACGTTTGAAGAACAGCAATGTTGTGAATTTCTAAGGTATGCAAGTGCGTAATTTAGTATTTTTAAGAAAGTCTTATGTAATATATAAATTTTGGTTTACAATATATGAAAGTCCGCCTAAATTACCCTTGTAGCTGTTTAATTCAGCCTTTAAAATTGAGTGTTGTAAAAAAAACATGTGCTAGATTGCAAGTGATTTATATGCAATTCCAGCTAGATTTCTTGATTCAAATGAAATGAACCCCATGTTTTAATTTTATTAATATCTTAGTGTTTTTAGGATCAACTTGGTTTTTGATAAATAAAATCCTTTTTTTCTTATATTTTTTGGGGTTTTATTGTTAATGACTTTTCTTCTTCTGCATTTTAATTTTTAATAAGCATTATTAAAATTACGTGGAAAAATTTCATTTATTATTTAATGTTAATGAAAATATTAAGTAAATATTTTTTGCTTATTTAAGATTTAAAATAAGTAAAATTTAAAAGAAAAAAAAAAGAAATATATTGACATTGTGTTTTTTTTGTTATTTTAAGAGTAAAGTGGTTTTAAATTCATACAAAGCCTTTTTAGTTTAAACGTTTTTGCTTGTTTAAGAATTTTCATTTAAAGGAAAAATTCTTGAAATTTTTCATGGAATTATGTGATTCTTCGTTGCTTAAGTGTCTATATTTAAAATTTTAAATTACCGAAACTATGAAAATAGCTAGTAGAGCTTGTACCTCCTTGGGGCATTCCACCTTGTCGTGGTGGGGGGGCTTATATAGGACTAAAGAACCCAAGAGCGATGTCGGCGGATACTGTATATCTTTACAGTGTTTGGCAGGTGCAACCACGCCGATAAGGTCGAGGGGGAGGTCTGAAAAACCAAGAGAATCCCACAACTCAACTATTATGAAGGATGTCTGAAAGGAGTGTTGAAGAGCGTGCTGAGATATCAGCACAAATATCGTCCGGATCTACGACGGGCGGCGAGGGCTTGGCCCCAGGTGGGGCTAAGTCGCCAGTGGGACCGTACTTCGGAAGGTGGCTCATCCAACCAAGGACAAAGCCGAGGTTAAGAGGGACCACTTCCAGAAGAGGAGGGGACGTTCCGACGATGGTATTCTCCCGAGCACCTATAAGAAAGCGAAAGGCACAGCTTCGCAGATGGGGGATTGGAGGCAGGTTGCCATCGTGCATGAGAGCGACCCGGAAGGCCGGTTGGATCATGAAAAATGGCAAAGGCTGGAAGAAAGGATCCAGGTTGAGCTAGTGGAGGTGTTTTCATCTGGCTCAGCAGATGATCTCATTTTCGATGGAGCTGGATGGGATGGAGACTACAAGGTGGTAGCGGGAGGGGGCCAAACTACGGGCTGTCCCTAGGTTCAATGTTGGAAGGTACCGGAGGCCGAAGCCGTGGCTGTGGGTACCCAAACCCTACGTTGCAGCGGAGAAAATCCTCAGGCTACTGATTGCACAGAATCTGGAGCTCGGGGCTGAGGACTAGACTGTGGTTAAGGAGGACTCTCGGAAGGAAACTGGACAACACTTCCTTCTGAGCATAAATAGGAAATCGGTGCCCTATATGGAGAAAAATGGCGGATTGGTAAGGTTCAGCTTATCCAAGGTGATGCTTAGGATTTTTGGGGCGGGCAGTTCGGGAGATGGAGGTTATACAAGTCAATCTCCATCACAGTAGGGCCGCTACTGGCAATTTTGTGGGGTACATGAGCGCTAATGGCATCCACATTGCGCTCATTCAGGAGCCGTGGTTGGATGGAAATGCGAGAATACGGGGCCTGAGGCTTAAGGACTATGTCCTGTATTACAAAATCGGAGTAAGTAGACAGAGATCTTGTATTTTCGCCAGGAAGGAACTAAAACTTTTAAATAACTTTTGTGACGGCGATACAACTGTGGTGAGGTGGGAGAGGAAGAAGAAGGATTTGCCTCTTCTTCTTATCTCATGCTATATGCCCTACGATAGCAAGGCAGAGCCGCCGCCGGGAAAATTTAGAAAGGCTATCAGGAAGTGGAGACACGATGTACTGGCTGGGTGTGATGCGAATGCGCGCCACACTCTATGGGCTACTAATTTAGGCACCTTAATAGTCAGTAACTGGATGGTATCGGAGGATAAATCTGCAACCGGAGGTGGGGGCGCTTTTTAAGAACCTCCGAAGGGCAAATTGGGATGGGTCCTCGGCGGCCCTGGAATCTGACATCACTGGGCCGGTACATGAACTGATAAGAAGAGGCAAGTCAATTGACAATGCGGTTGAGTGTCTGAGTGCGGCTATGAGGAGGGCCTTCGAGGCCAATTGCCCAATTAACCGCGCTGCAAAGTGTGGTAGGCCACCATGATAGTGTAACGAAATTAGTGAATCCAGAAGGAAAGTGAAGAGGCTACATAATTTGGCGAAGCGGGGAAGCAACCCATCCATGTGGGAAGAATATAAGAAGGAACTGAGGGCTTTTAAGACTACTATCGGGGGAGCCCCTGGTACCTGGTTTTGTTAAAAGAGATGATGGTACTTGGGCTGGCTCTAGTATAGAAACGTTGGGGTAGCTGATGGAGGTTCACTTTCCGGGATCAATTCCCGAGGAAAAAGGCATAGCAAAAGCTAAGGTGGTTCCGAGGAGAGGAACGGAGACTGTACGAGTTTTAGGTAAAGAAATTTTTACGGGGGAGAGGATACAGTGAGCTATTAAGTCTTTTGGCCCCTACAAGTCTCCGGGAACGGATGGGGTGTGGCCTATTATGCTGCGGAGGGCACCGAGAGTGATCATTGCTTGGTTGATGGTAATTTTTCGTAGCTGCCTGTATATGGGGTATGTTCCTAGAGAATGGAGAGAGGTAAGGACGGTTTTTGTGCCGAAGCCTGGTAGGAGTGGTCACCATGGAGAGGTTAGTGGAAAAATTTATAAGGAATGAGGAAAGGGAGTCGGGTCTGTCAAATGACCAGCATGCCTACAGAAGAGGGAGATCTGTGGAGACGGCACTCCACGCGGTGGTCACGCAGTTGGAGGTGTCTCTGCAGTACAAGGATTATACATTGGCTGCTTTCTTGGATGTTGAGGGTGCTTTCAATAATGTAAAGGTTTAAGCTATCGTGGGAGCTCTTGAAGATGTAGGAGTAGAGGAGGGCGTAATCAGGTGGATAGAGCAAATGCTTACTACTAGGATGGTTGTGGGCGAGTGGGGCCCAAGTAGGGTGAGGATGCTAGTGGTGAGAGGCACTTCTCAGGGGGGGTTATGGAGGGTTATCTTAGGCTCATGAGGGATAGTAGATGTAGAGTTACTGCCTTTGAGGATGATGTGGCAATCCTGGTCTCGGGTAAATACCCGGAAGTACTGAGTGCAATATTGCGGGGGGTCTTGATAGACTATATGTTTGGGCGCGGGGGTGCAGTCTTTCAGTGAACCCCGTAAAAACTGAGCTGGTGTTGTTCACGAGGAAAAGGAAGGTGTCCTGGTTTGTCCTGCCTAGGATGGCGGGAGTCGAACTAGGTTTGGCGGGCTGTGCGCGATACCTGGGCGTGATTATGGATAGTAAGCTGCTGTGGAGGGAAAACATAGAGAATAGAGTAAGGAGGGCCACGACTGCGTTGTTTGCCTGCAAGGGGGCGGCTGGTAGACGGTGTGAGTGAGTCCTCGAGTAGTCTACTGGTTGTATGAGTGTGTAGTTTGGCCTATTCTGACGTATGGGGAATTGGTCTGGAGGCGAGCGGTGCTTCGGGATAGGGAAAGGGGGAAGTTTGAGAGGGTGCAGCGTATTGCGTGTATTGGGGTGACGGGTGCATTGCGTACTACACCCACTTTGGGTTTGGAGGTTATTCTTGACCTGGATCCGCTGGGTGAGCAGGTAAAAGCGGCGGCTGCGAGGAGTGCCTTGAGGTTACAAGCGATGGGCATACTTAAAAACAGGGAATACACACACAGTAGAATTCTGGGATGCGGCCTATGGACGTTAGGTCTGATTTTGTTGTGCTATACACCGACTGGAGGGTTGATTATGGGGTGGCGGTTCCTCAAAGGGAGGATTGTAGTGTGGGGGGTTATGCACGCATGAGGGGTTATCCATTTACACGGATGGTTGTAAGACCATGGACGGTACGGGGGCGGGGGTCTTCTCCAAGGAGTAAGGGATGGAACTATCGATTGGGCTGCCTGAAGGATGTGGGGTCTTCCAGGCAGAGATTTTGGCGATGCTTAGGGCGGCGGAATTGGCTGCAACAAGACCGGTGGGGGATTGCGGCTGGCAATTTTTGTGGATAGTAGGGCGGCGATTGGGGCCTTCGAGTCCTATTCGGTTGGGTCGGCTTTGGTGGGTCGATGCAGAGGGGAACTTAGGGCACTTTGTACTATGTGCAGGGTGACTGTGTGTTGGGTTCCCGGTCATAGCGGGATACGAGGTAATGAGATAGCAGATCATCTTGCGAGGGTTGGGGCTTCGCCAGGGAGGTTGGCTGGTTCGGATAGGGGGGTCTTGTGTGTCGAAGTGCATGGGGGTTATTGCGTGTTTTCTGGGGGTTGCCGACGGGCCTTTTTCTGTTGGCCTAGTGCCTGGGCCTTGCGCTGGTGTACGGGTGGAGCCCACCCCCCCCCCCCCCCCTCTTACTACTACTAGTAGAGCTTGTAAGTTTTATCAATTTATTCAAATTTTGTATATTTTATGACAATGTATATTATGTCTGTAATCCTGTAGTGAGTTCAAAATAGTGTTTTAAAGGTTACATTAAAATTTTGACTTACCTACTATGCTTCTTCAATTCATAATATTTATTGTCAAAATTACTTCTATAATTTGTTTCATGTTCATTATTTGTATATTGATTATATTGATTGTATAAGCCATGATGATGACCTTCACGGCGATGCTGATGATACTGTTGATGTGGAAGCTCTTCTGCAAAAAAAAAAAAACGAAAAATTAATAAAAGAAATTTAACAACTTTAAAATTAAATTCACAATTTACGTGTTTGATTTTTTTTTGTAAATAAAAAAAATTAAAAATTCCCTATGCTAATTTTATGTTTATTTTTGAAACTAGTTAAGGTAGATCAGGCAAATCGCAGTAGGACTAATGCAAAACTATATAAAATACAAAGTTATTGTGAAAGGAGAGCGGTGAACAATAACCATTGACGATTTTCGTTGTTAACCTTAGAAGATTATCGGAACGTCAAATTCGCTGCGGTAATAACGGTCAATTCTGGGTATATTGTTCCACTGAAATAATATGTGTATTCTATATATAAATTCTGACATTAATTCGTTACCGATAATCGCTCTTGTTCTGTTTCTTGTTCAATAAATGAAATTCGTTTTTAACATATTATTGAAAATTTGGAATATATACTTCGGCAGAAGGTATTTTTTCACCAAAGCACGCCATACTTTTGCGAAAATAATTAATTTTCTTGTTGCCGATCTTACCTCCGAATACAAATCATTTTTGCTGCCCTCTCCAAAATTCAGAAATTACTTATTATATGAATATTCGTTCAATGTTGGACAATTTTAAGAAAATATTTTATTTGTTCTTTGAAAACGATCAAATAAAGTTAGTTTTAAAATTATTATTTTTGATGAAAAAAAAATTTCGAATACCACAAATTTTTATTTGATGCAATCAAAATTTGTTCCTATACCAAAATTAATTTATTAATAGGTTGTTTGTTTAAATTAATTTGTTAACAAAGTTCATGTATATTTAAGTACATTTTTATTATTTTTAAAGAGGATAAAAGGATCAAAGATTAAACAAAAATCGTAAAAAAGAGAAATTATTTAAGGGCCCTTAGTAGCAGCTTAAAATTTTTTGCTTTTTAAATGACTTTGTGTTCATAGTATGTAATTAAAGCTTCAAAGCTAAAAAAACTTTTCATTTAAAAAAAAATTATTAAAAAAATCTGAAAGTTTTATTTATAAATTATGGGATAGATAAAAGTCATATACATACTTAAAAGATAGAAAAAATATATCCACGAATACAGCCACTTTAACGTAAAATTATGGTTCAAGGAATGCGTAAAGATTATTTTTCTTTGTTCTTGTGCTTCTATCAAAATTGTATTAATATTGAAGAGTCCTGATACTATAAAATTACTCAGCGATTGAAAAAAAAGGCACCTTGTTAAAATTTTTTGATTTATTAATGTCGAAATTTTTTCTATAGTTATCTACTTACTTAATTATTATTTTTACACTTCTGTGGCTGCACGTGTATATTTAAAATTTTTTGGTGAATATTTTAATCGCAAATTATAATTTATTTATTATTATTATTAAACGCGCACTCAATATTGTAGAAAATCTTTAAATTTAAAAAAAAGAGCAAAAATCTTCATTTTCTCTGATACTAGAGTCTGTTAATAGAGACTATTTAAAATTCATTTGCTTGTGGTTTATTAAATATTTGAATTTCTTATTGTATTGATTATGGTTTGTGAAAGTTATTGTTATAAATGTTCTTAGGAATATACTTATAAAATTACTATGTAGGGTGATTTAGCAATCTGTACTCCAACATGTCCCATTGTACGGGATACAGAGTCCAGGAAAGTTCACCGGGCCCAGATACAAGGATTGTAACAAATATTTACAAATTAAGATTAGTTTCAAGATTTTTTGTGACTATAGCCGCCATTTCGATAAAGAAAAGATATTTGCGTTTGCGAAATTTCAATACTGAAGGTTCTATAAATTCTAAGATGGCTGTAATCCTGAGCGCTCATGACGTCTTAACTGTTTCTACCGAAAATAATAATTATTTTGCTATATAGTTATTTTTAAAAAATTTTAGTACTGCAACTTATGACTAAATAACTTTTGAAATTGTGTGGCAGCTACTCAATAACGACTGCCTCGACCATATCCAATTTAAATATAGTGTTCTGACATTTACTATACTAAAAATCATTTTTGAAAATTTTGAATTTAGCTCAATTAGTTTTTGAGATACTGTTGTGACCGACGTCAATACGAACAGACGGATATGCGCTACATCTAATGCAAATGCATCTGATCAAACACATACACTTATTTCTATATCTCAAAGCATTATTTCTTATCATTTCTAAATATGATTACTTTTAAAGCTAATGTACCCTTTAATGAAACTTTAGTTAAAATTAAAATTCCAATATTCCATAAAATATTTCGAAATTAATTTTTTATTTAAAATATTTGTAAAAAAACAATGCAGTTTAATTATACAAAATATTTTTTTATTTTTCCAAATTTAATGAAGTGACACAATTATTCTCTTTACAATAATAAATTTTTAATTTTTCTTTCACTTTTACATTCCACTTTTGGAATATCATCACAGATCAATGATTACGTAAGGGAATATTTCAAAAAGAAAAAAAAAATTATTATGTGTAAAAGACCTGATTTAAAAATTCACGTTATTAAAAAAATGAAAAAATAAACTGGAATTGAAAATAAAAAAAAAAGTTTTTCCTTAAGGACATTCCCTCATTTTTTGAAACTTTTATTTTTGTTTTTGTAAAAGTTGAATTTCTATAACCAAATGAGAAACAAAAAATATTAAAAAAAAATGGAAATAAAAGAGGCAAATAAGAAGGATATTGACCAACATTTTTGTGTTAGAGAGAAAAAGTATACACTAAATAACAAAAAAAAAATAACAAAAATAAAAGAGAAATCCTTTTTTTTAAGGATTCTAGTAAATTTGTTCAAAACATGAAATAAATTTGTTTTTTTTTTTGTTTATGAATCTTAAAGTGAGAAAAAAATTTACGAAATAAAAAAATGTTAACAAAAAACTAACAGGAGAAGAAAATAAAGGAGCAAAATTTCCCCAAGGATATATATAACACTTCCGGATTTTGATTAAGGACTTTTCCTATATATAAAAAAAAAATACACAATACAAACGTATACAAAGAAACCATACTTTTACTTTGTATGCAAAAAAACAAAATCCTTTTTTTTAAATTTAGTCCGGCTACAAGAGAAATGCAAAAGCAAAATGAAGACTGAAAAAAAAATTAAAAAAAAAAGAAAAAATAAATATTTTTTTTTCTTCTCTAATTAAACTTTTCTTTTAGTCCTTTAATATTTTATTTTTCTGTTTTCTTATTTAGATTTTGTTATCCTTTTTCATTTATTTTTTTTAATTTGTGTTTTACTTTTACTCCTTTTTTTTTTAAATTTAAAATTTTGGTTGCTAAGATTTTTTTTTCATTTTTTTCTTAAAATTTTTAGATTTAAAAATTTTGTCCTTTTACTCATGCGGACTGCAACTGAGTTTCAGCGTTTAAAGTAAATTGAATATGGTGTATGACAATTATCGGATTGGAAAACTTATATAGGTTGTTGCAGGTATCCTTTATTTCCAAACACAGGTATATGAATACAATGTGTACAAGTAAATAAGTATGAAAAATGGTGTTTAAAATTGTTGAAATATTTTAATTAAATTGAACTAAAATTGCATTAGGATGGGGCTCGTAAAATAACTCGTTAATAACATCACAAAGACGATGAAGAATACACAAGCATGAATAACACTTAGGAAAATAAAATTCTTTAAAGGAAAAATACAATATGAAGTTTGTTTTTAATATACTGGAAATTTAAAATAAAACTAAACCGCGAAAATAACCTTCCATATGGATAACGGTTTCAAAAAGTTCTTCGATCTGCCGCCTTCCGCCTCTGTAACCCTATTTCAAATGAAATATTATCTTTATTTAGCAAAAATATAAGCCGTTTAACAAGGCTAGGAACTGAGTTTTTGGCGCAATCTGCTGTCTCCAAAAGGTACTCTTCCAACCTCCAATTTCAAAGCAATGGACTACATGGTATTAAAATTGCACGATACGCATAATAAATCACTTTCTTGTAATTTTATCTTACTAATACAAAATTCGTCATAAACATTTACAATTTTTGTGTACAGGTACAGGTGTAATAGAATGAAAAGTTAGTTTTTCTTAAGTTTCCAATGGCGCTAATTGTAAATGCTTATTTTGCATATATGGTAGATTTGAGGCTATTTTTAACAGTAAAGTTTAATTTAGAAATTTATGTTTAAGTTAAATTTAGTGTTTAGAGTTATACAATATACTGTATTTTAATACCAAATTTGGTAAATTGCATTTAATTACTAAAACAAGAGCAGCTTCCAAATTTAAAGGGAGAAAACAGAAACTACAAATGTAGTATGGGAAAAGAACCTTACACAAATTATATTAAAGAACGCTTTTATTTTAAATTTAATAAATGATTAAATTATTGATTTTCAAAAATCATACAATAAATGAAAACCACCTCGAAAAATCTTGATGATGTGCCAAAAAAAAAAAAAATTAAAAAATACATGTGTTTTTCAAGGTAAATTCTATTTTAATTTACTTAAACGTAAAAGTACAATAGAAAATAAGCTTTTAAACCAAACACCAATGAGACCAATAGTAAATATGTAATGGAAAACCAAAATAATAAAATTACCATGCGTTTAAAATATAAAAATACCGTGAACATTTTACACAATACCAAAACAAAAAAAAAACAAAAATTCAAATCACGAATTTTATAGCTTACAACTCTCTTGTATTTTTACAATAATTTAGAAAAAGAAAAAAAAACATGAGGAAAAAATTGAAAATTTATGCTGTAAGCTTACAAATTTTTAATATTTTTGTCATGTCTAGCCTATATGATCTCACACCATTTTCCTTAATTCAAAAAATAGCAACAAAAAATTAGGCTTGGCATTTTCCATTGCGTCACAAAATCTATGCCAAAATAATTTTAAAATATTCTTATACATTTTACATATCATTATCGTATGTACGTGATAAGTATATATGTGTGTGTTTGTAAACATCTTAAATTTATGTAAATAAAAACCACAACCAAAATCATGTGGG